TCTTTTACTAATTTTTATTTTATTTTATTACTATATTTTCTTTTTTATATTGCTTTCTTTTACTGCAGTATGTTTCTCCATATTTTAGTGCGTTTTCAGCTTTGAAACTCGTAAGTGCTCTATTTCTATTCAAAAAGTATAGCAGCAGCAGTTTTTTTTTCTTTTTTTCTTTAACCTGTTAAGCTTTATATAATTCATATTTAAAACTTGGACTAATAGGGGGCTGATATGGCTCATATTGTCTGCCAACCTACAGCAGCGATTTCTATAAAGGTAGGATTTTGATTATAATTTAAAATTGAAATTTTAAACGGATCACTCAAAATATAAATCTGTTTAATATCTCAGAATTATTCGCCAGGCACGACACGCTTTATATCCCAGTCTTTTACAAATCTAGGCATTATTTACTTTTAATCTAATAATTTGTTTTTTTTATTATTCTATAGATTTAATGGTACATCCTTACATGCGCAAATCCGAGTTAGTATAAATTTTGGTTCTACCTCGAAATCCCGACATACATAATCTCGATTAAGACAGAGTACTGAAAAGTCAAAATCCTGACTAAGACAGAATCCCGGCAGTTTAAAATTCCGATTTTCAAAATCTCAAATGATCAAAATCTGATTTGATATGTAATTTAGAGATTTATCCGTCGGAATTTTGGATATCGGGATTTTGTCCCTGTCGAGATTGTCATTTCAAAATTTCTTGTTGAGATTATAACCTGTCGGGATTTTGGGTTTCGGGAATCCAGAGTAAAACCATAAAATTTTTAGTCGCAAATGGTGATTGGGTTAATCTAACAACTTAACCTTGATTATATAAATGTGAATATGTAGAAAGAATCCTGATTTAACTTCCGAAGAGATAATAGATAATGTAACATCTCTTTTTAAGCGCACGCACGTGCTAGTTATTGGTCCTGGCTTATCAAGAGATAAGATGATGTTGGAATGTGCTAAGGGTATCATATTAAAGGCAAAAGAAGAACATATACCAATGGTTATTGATGCGGTACGCGATCAGCGTGCGCGATTTATTTTTCAGGTGGACTCGAGACTTTTATTAACGGTATTATTAATCTGGTTTTTTTAGGATGGATTGTTTCTTATTCAAAATGATCCTGATATTATCAAAGACTATTCTGAAGCAATTTTGACACCCAATGTTAATGAATTTAGACGTCTTTGTGAAGCAATGGTAAAAAAAATAAAATAAAATAAAATGCATATTAGTTATGGTGATAGCTAAATTCATATGCCGATGTTACATTTAGAGGATAGAATATGAAGATGACCATAAAGGGGAATTGATTCAAAAATTAAGTCGGGTTTTTGGTGGAGTAACTATTGTCCAAAAGGGCGAAAATGACTTAATTTCTAATGGTAATTCCGGTAAGTAATAAAGTGATTAAATTTTATTAAAATGAATGAAGTGTATTAATTTATTTTTAATTCATTTGGCTCAATATAGTCTTTCTGGTCGATAATAAAGGTGGTCTCAAGCGTTGTGGTGGGCAAGGCGATATTCTTACAGGACTTATTTCCACATTCATATCATGGGGCGTGGCATATAAGAAAAATATATGGGCGTAAGTTAAAATTTCTTGATTTAGGAGCGAGTCAGTAAAAATCACCAATTTTTTTAATGAAATTTTTTGAACCTATAAACAAAAATAACTCTACAAAATCTTAACCAAATTTAATGAAAAAATTTATCCTTTTTTAAGAAATTTTACGAATTTATAGAATTAATTAAAAAATTTTTTTAAATTATTGTTATCTTTGTTTAAAGGTTTAAAAAATTTTATTTAAAAAAAAACTTGGTATTTCTAACCACCCATTTGTTATGTGCTGATTATTCTTACACACAAACTTGTCTTTCATTCTTGAACATGATTGCAAAAGGCACGATAATTCCATATCACCCACAGATATTCCAATGTTGGCTAGTTTTGCGGGATGCACACTTATGAGAGAATGTTCATGGGCTGCCTTTACGAAACTGGGACGTTCTGTTCAAACATCAGATATGATCCCGGAAATTGGACCATCCTTTCAACGGTTGTTTGAAAGGTAAATGGTTTATTATCCGGATTAAGTAAGTCTTGCATTTTGTTTCGTTTTTATTGCTAATTATTTTTAATGTCAGAACAAAATTGCAAATTTATCATGATATATCAATAAAAAGTAATTTAAGTAAATTATAACGATTACCGTATAAGCAGTATATCAGAAGTGTTTTAAATGAAATATACTAGGATAATGTTATAAAACCATGTAGAATTAAGCTTATTATAGTATTAGTGTATTTAACAATATGTTTAGCATTTTATTTCCCGAAGTCAATAAGACATTGATGGTCAACAATCAGGAATCATATTATCAATAAGACATTAATCGGATATTATCCTATCGATATCTTAGATAATATTGCTTATTAAAACAATTGTTGTTGGAATACATATTTTTTAATGTAAAATTTTTATCATCAAATGCATTATAAATTAATATGCCCTGATAATTGGTATTTTTTTTAACGGGTGAGAATATCACATTATACTTAAATTGAGGTTTATTGCAGTAATAACCAACTACAAAGAATTCTATTATTATTTTCGTTCGATCAATGAAATTTTGCCAAATTGTATCGTGAGAATAGGTTTTGCTACTATAGCATACTATTCCAGATGTTAGACGATAACATTTATCTGTTTCTCACTTACACTATAAGTGATGTAAAAAAAACTAAGTAGTTTGTATCAAATATTGATAAAAGAGCATTTCATGTGTGGAATTTTTATGTCACCATTCAACTAGACTTTCAATGTCATTGATTAAGTGGTCTTGGTGCTTCTTTAGCCTCCAAATCACCATACTACTTCCTATAGTGCAATGTCACAGGATTAAACAAAGTCCCTGCACTGCTACGCACTTGGAGCCTTAACCTGTCTAGTGCTACTTGTTACGGTTGTATTTTTGTCAATTCGGTACATCATAACTACTCATTGTTATAATATCATTCAGTGTTAGCCTAGCTTAGATTTCTTTCTTGCAAACAAAAATATCCCCAAATTGAAAAATTGAACGAACATACAGTACAAATAACCTTCATTAATAAATTATTAAATTTATTCAATGCATTAATTTATCTTTCCAAATGCTCATCCATGGACAGGCAGGATGAGCGAAACCAAAAGATAACATCTCTAACTAAAATAAATCAATAATTACTCTAATAAAATTCAATTGGTGAAGAAACAACCTTATCAAAAAAAAAAAAAATTATTAAAATTACAAATACATTAAATCGTTTTAGTATAATAACCATATGAAATATTAATCATCACACACTCGACATCCACTAGGAAGCCAGTAATATATTCGGAACAAAAGAAACGAAGGACTTCGTATATATGAAACCAATTTCTAACAATAGAACCTTTTTTTTTTTTATAGAGGCATATTGTCATGTTTTTTGTAAATAATTGGTAATTTTTTGCGTTTTAAAACCGCCAAATCCTCGATAACTCTTTTTCGCGTTGTAGAAGGTAATATGATATCATCAAGGAAACTAAATGATAAAGGAGAATAGAAATAAATAAACAAATAAATTAAATAAATGAGCATGTGTCAAAATAAAGGTCCAAAATATACCCTCGTTGGGCTGCAGGTAATGGATTAGCAAACTAAAAATGCAAATAAATGTGAAGAGATCAATAAAAAATCATATTACATGAAATAATTATTTAGCATAATCTTGTATGTACCTTGTCTAGAGATAAAATCGATTTATGTGTTATATATAAGTAACATATTTTATATGAATAAATATTCACGGTTATTTAAAATAGATACCAATATATTCCTTTTCTGCTTGCGTTCGGTCTTCAACGTGTCGAAATATAATTTCGACAGCCCCCTTGATTCGCAAGATGAATTATAATGGTAAGCTACAACCAAGGTAGTAATAAATGCAATATATAATATCTTACCTTTGCACCCATAACAGCAATTTCACCTGTTGGCCACGCATAATTTATCTGAAAAATAATTATAGTATAAATCATAATTCTTATACAGTATATATTTAAACTATATGAGGAAACGTTACATCGCCACGAAGGTGTTTGCTCGACATAACATCATAAGCCCCTCCATACGCTTTTCGCAAAATAATTGTAATTTTTGGGACGGTTGCCTAAAAATAAGAATTAGATTTAAGGCTATAATCATAATGCGTGATCATTAATATTTATATTAGGTATTAATGTTTTACCTCCGCATATGCATAAAGTAATTTGGCACCATGGCGAATAATGCCATTATGTTCTTGAGCAGTTCCAGGAAGAAAACCAGGTACGTCCACTAGTGTGATAATTGGAATGTTAAAAGCATCACAGAATCGAACAAATCTAGAAGCTTTCACAGAACAATTAATATCTAAAACTCCCGATGATACTAATGGCTGATTTCCAACTATGGAAACTGTTTGACCATCCATCCGGGCGAACCCTATGACAATATTTTTAGCGTAGTCTGGCATGATTTCAAAGAAATTGGAATCATCCACAAGACGCGTGATAACATCTCGCACATCATAAGCTTTTGTGGAATCAACGGGGATGATGTGGTTAAGTGATGGATCTTCACGGGTTACGGGATCATCAGTGCAACGGATGGGTGCTCGTTCACGGTTTGAAAGTGGCAAGAAATCTATAAAGTCCCGAATACTGTTCCAGATATTTGTATTAATAAAAAGGTGAAAAGATGTAATATGCATTGTTTAAATTTTACCGTTGTAAAGCCTCGATGTCATTTTCAAAAGCATTGTGTGCAACCCCTTTAAATACAAAGAATTAAAACATGAATAAAAAGAGTAATTATTCCAACAATAAAATAACTAATTAATAATATTAACATGTACCAGACTTAACAGTATGTGCTTTTGCACCACCGAGCTCTTCTTGTGTTACATCTTCATTTGTAACTGCCTTGACTACATCAGGACCAGTGACAAATAAGTATGATGTGTCACGTACCATGAAGGTGAAATCAGTAAGAGCTGGAGAGTACACAGCACCACCTACAAAATGTAATTTAATTTGATTATATCTGAGTGAACTATCAATTTTTGAAAACTTCAATAAATAATGAAACTTACCAGCACATGGACCCATTATCAGCGATATCTGAGGTACAACACCGGATGATAAGACATTCTTTTGAAAAATGTCTGCATATCCGGCAAGAGAATCTACACCTTCTTGAATACGTGCACCACCAGAATCATTCAGGCCAACAACTGGCGCACCGACCAATACAGCTTTATCCATTATTTTACAAATCTTTTGAGCATGCATTTTTGATAAACTACCACCAAAGGCAGTAAAGTCCTGAGAAAAAACAAAAATTCTCCGGCCATTTATCGTGCCATGTCCAGTAACTACACCATCACCAATGATCTAATGTTTAAATATATAAGAATTGTGGATGGACGTGATTTAAATATATATAATTTTGATCTACCTTGTTTTTTTCCATACCAAAATCAGTACATTGATGTTCTACAAAAGTATCATATTCATGAAAAGATCCTGGATCCAAGAGTAAATCAAGGCGTTCTCGAGCAGTTAGCTTTCCCTTGAGAAATAATAAACAAATTTTCATTACTCATGATAACAGTAACTATGCAATGGAATTTAGATTACCTTTTTATGCTGAGTGGTAATTCTATTAATGCCGCCTCCCAAATATGCTTTCGCACGCATGGATTCTATTCGCTCCATGATTTCCTACGAAATAATAATCATATTAAAGAGCTATTAGCAGTATGTAAATTGCTTGTAAGATAAATTTACCTCTTCTTTAGTATTGCCAGACGCATATTCTCGAATTTGTATTGGTGTTAACGCTGAAATTCTACCAAACGATTTCGCATCGGGATAGATATGCGATACACGTGTAAATGTAGATAAGATGCATTTATAATTACGTGTGAAAGCTTCCCTGTACATTGCAAATTCGATAAGTCTAAAAGGTGAATAGATGAAATGTTATCAAACTTTACTGGGTTTAAAAAGGTTCGCGAAAATTTATATCGATATGTTACACACGATCTAGCGTTTTATCGTCCGATAATAACATGCAATGAATAACATACGATAAAATAACATGATGTAATGATACCTTTAATTTTAAATTGACACGTGAAAGCTGATCTCGAAACCATTTATATTGACCTCTCGATCAGAGCTATCCAAAAAAAATCCAATGAATATTTTAATTACTCGGGCGCGCGTTGTCAGGACGCGGTTCTCTGCTAATTCAGTAATTATCAATCAGAAGAATTTTGCATTTTGCCGCCCTTCAATAGTTCTTCCGGCTCGCTATTTTCATTCTTCGCTTACAACATATTATGCTAATATACAAGGGCCTCAATCGGTAGATTATGGAAAGGAAAGTTTCGTTTCATATATTTAGTTAAAATGCGTTCTCATAGATTACGGATTACTGCGCATTCATGTTTTTTGAAAAAACCTAATAAAAGAAAAAATTCATTCAACAGACTTTTGATAAAATATTGATTGCAAATCGTGGAGAAATTGCTGTTCGTGTAATTCGTACAGCTAAAAAAATGGGCATTAAAACAGTAGCAGTCTATTCAGATGCGGATGCTCGAAGTTTACATGTGGAAATGGCAGATGAAGCGGTCAACATAGTATGTACTAAATTATGGGTTTAACCCCATCCAAATCCAGAATATAATCCCATCCCAATCCCATCTTCAATGCTCGATTGCCAATTCCAAGAATTCGTCAACAAATATAAAATTTTCTATGATATTTATGATGTTTATCGTTTAGGGGCCTGCACCATCAAACCAAAGTTACCTCAATATTCCGAATATCCTCCAAGCAATCAAATCTACTGGAGCTCAAGCTGTACATCCGGGTATTGTTATAATTAAAATTAACTACATGCTCATTCAAGTAACTAATGGCATTAATTGCCTGTAGGTTATGGGTTTTTATCGGAAAACTCGCATTTCGTGAAAGCACTTAACGAAGCGGGAGTCACGTTTATAGGGCCAGGAGAATCAGCAATGGCAGACTTGGGTGATAAAATTCGAAGCAAAATCATAGCTAAACAGTCTGGTGTTAACACTATTCCTGGTTTTGATGGTGTTGTAAAAGATAGTAATCATGCTTTGGAAATCGGTAAATTCATATAAATAGATGATATATTTGTAGAGTTTAGTTGACTAATCTCAAATGTATTTATTCAGCTCAATCGGTCGGCTATCCCGTAATGTTGAAGGCTTCTGCGGGAGGAGGTGGAAAGGGTATGCGAATTGCGTGGTGAATATAAATTCCGATAAACCCTGCTTGTTTACAATATATACATTACATTAATCAACAAAAACCTATGCCAATAAGGAATGATCAAGAAGTTGTTGATGGTTTCAAAATTGCATCTCAGGAATCATTATCAAGTTTCGGCGATAATCGTTTGTTAATTGAGAGATACATTGATAACCCACGTCATATTGAGATTCAAGTTATTGCTGATAAATTTGGAAACATTTTATATTTCCCTGAACGAGAGTGTTCGATTCAAAGAAGAAATCAAAAGGTATAGTATTTCTTACATATCATTTGCTATATATAATATTAAAAGAGTTTATTACCCTTTAAATAGGTTATTGAAGAAGCACCAAGCACCTTTTTGGATCCAGCAACACGTAAAGCGATGGGTGAACAAGCTGCTTTACTTGCTAAACACGTTAGTTATGTATCAGCTGGGACAGTTGAATTTTTGGTGGACGCTCAGCGTAATTTTTACTTCTTGGAAATGAATACACGTCTTCAAGTTGAGCATCCTATCACTGAGTATATTACAGGTGTTGATTTAGTTGAACTAATGATTCGCATAGCTGCAAACCAAAAATTGTCGATAACTCAGGAAGACTTAAAATTTCATGGGTGGGCGTTTGAGTCACGTGTATATGCTGAAGATCCGGAAAAATATTTGCCATCTATCGGGCGTCTTAGTAAATATATAGAACCGCGAAGCTTAACCGATAAACATGAAGTCCGTTGTGATTCTGGTATCGTAGAAGGGAGTGAGATCAGCATATATTATGATCCTTTGATTTGTAAACTTTCTACTTATGGAGAGACAAGAGATGAAGCCATTAATACTATGTTGAAAGCCTTGGATTCTTATGTAATTAAAGGTTAGGAGAATATTAAATACATTATGTATAGTGTGAACGATATATGATATTTTTATTTTACACATATATATATATATTAGGCGTTACTCACAACGTCCCATTACTTCGTGAAGTTATTTCAAGCCAAAGATTTCGATCTGGTAAAATATCAACCAAATTTCTTGCAGAAGAATATCCGGGTGGATTTAAGGGTCATACTGTCAAGGATGAATCTTTACATGAACTTATTTCTATTTCTGCATTTGTTCATGCTAAACGTGATTTGAGAAATTGGAGTTGGATAGATGGAGAAGGAACTTTGTTTAAAAAAAATTTGAATAAAAATGCACCAAATAAATGGGATCTTTGGATATCAGTTAATAAAGATATTCAGCCTATCAATGTAAAAGTGAAAAAAAAAGGCACGAATGAAGAAGAATTTGAGGTATGAACAAAGCTAATATAATCAATACTCATTAAAGTCATTATTTAATGAATCTTTATATATTAGATAATAATGCCAAACTATCCAAGAACCATAATATCAGCTAAGTGGCCATTAGAAACACCGCTGATTAATGCTTGTCTCCGTACTGATAATCAAGAAAGTAGGGCATTAACAGTGCAATATATCGATCCTTTACCAGTTGGCTTCCGACTACAATATGTAGGTACAAAATTTGACATCACGGTTCACAACCAACGGCAACATGAGTTGAGTCAGTATATGATCGAAAAACCCAAGGAAGATTTGTCCAATTTGATATTGAGCCCTATGCCTGGTAGTGTTGTGAGCTTGGCTGTTCAGGCTGGTGATCTGGTAAGGTATTATTATAATATGTGTATGAAATTCAAAATACTAAATTTATTTATAATTATCATTTAAGGTCGCTGAAGGGACCGAAATTGCGGTGGTAGAAGCCATGAAAATGCAAAATGTATTACGTGCTTCACGTGTTAGTAAAGTGAAAAAGGTTAACGTTAAACCAGGTGATGCTGTAGCCGCAGATGAGGTTCTAGTAGAATTGGAAGAAGTGAACAAAGACACTTGAATTTAATAATGTCAATAACTAATGTAATAAACAATTGTATATATATTTTAGAGGGATTCTTAAAGAACAATGCGCTGAGTTGAATTTTTAAAATGAATTAAATTATTAATAGTTCTATTATTTTTTACTGTTTTCACTATATATAATTATACAAAAATTCTATTTTTATTATTTAAATAACAATATAGATTTAATTTTAATTTTTAACTCTTTAAAAATTAATAAATAAACCTTTTTGGCTTTTAGTTAAAGTTATAAAGCTTGTTTTTTGATTTTAATAGGGTAAACTTATATAAAATTAAATATACAGTATATAGTAAATATAAAAATTTAAATTATTGGTTATATAAAGTATATATTATATATAATAAATATTGTAGTATGCTAATTAGAAGTTAAATTTTATTAATTTTTAAATTTTTTTAGTATATATTATAATACAAAAACTCTTTCTAACAATAGACTATAATTATGAACTCTTTCTTGTAGATCTTAAAAATATAATAAACAAAACAAATAAATGGAAAAGAAAATTTTTATATACAAAAATTGCTTATAACTAAAGTAAATTTAGAATGTACACAATATCCAACATACTCAAGCAACCTTATAATAACTACAAATGAACTGAAAAGAGATAGAAACATACTCCTCACCATTCCAGAAGCATTCGAACCATTTTTTATCCCTTTTGATAGACAGAACACTTCTCTGACAGATCTTACCAGGATCTTAGACAGTCACAATAGAACCAATACTCCTGAAAACCCTTCTTTGCTAAAAAAGAAAAGAACTACAACAAACAGTAATACTAATACTATGATAGTAAACCACCCTTCTTCACCACATCATTTTTTACTATTAAATTACTACCTCAAAGTAGGCAATCTAATAAACCCCTGATAAATACAACAATGACATCATTGTAACAAAACAAACAAACAAGTGTGAAAACTTACCAAAACATACAGACCAATATAAAAACTAATATAGAACCCAGCACTAGAACCCAGCCTATGATCGTCACAACAGATTAACATAACTTAAATAAACAAACAAGCATAAGAAATAATACACACCCAGGCGGACCACTTAAATTAGATACCCAAAAGGTGTACGTGTGGCTAGTTGTATCCTCGTGAATCTGATATAATATCGTAACTATCCGAAATAAAGCTCATGCCAATGGCCTAAGTGGTCACCTTTAATATTAAAAAAAAAAAAAAAAAAGAAATAATACACAGACTACTATGTCCTAGACTATAACAATGATCATAGACTACCCCAAAGTACTTGATCTGCTTTCTGATCTAATCCAGGCCAACTCTTGGAACTTGGACCAACAAACACTACAGCCCAATATTTTTTTACAACAAACTCAAGCAAGTATAAACCTAGAAGACAAAATAGATACTCAATTCAATACCACAATAAAATCTATTATACTATCAAAAAAATTATATAGCAAGGCCCTTACCTTTAATTTTTCTAAATATAATCAAAAAGAAGATTGTTCATTTACTTGATACAACTTAGTAACTATGGCTTTGGCCAAAGCCCATACTATTAATTTTGATTTGATAACATGACACAATGATGCAATCCTAGAAGCCTTCTCATTTAAGAAAACATTCTAACAATTTTTCATTTACAAAATTCAAACTAACCCTACATAGTATAACTTATCTCAAGCAATTAAAATAAAGTTCGAATACCTTGACTTAGTATTCTTTAAGTCTTTTACAAAAAATAAAGAAGTTTAGCCTCAACATCAAAAAGAATTTAATTCACTCCTACAAATGACAATTGAAAAATATAAAAGAATATACAATGTTCACTTTATTAACAAGTATAACAAAAACCAAATATACCTAAAACTCAAAGCAAAACTTGCTCTAGATTTTATCTGCAATCTAGACTTTGTAACTAACAACCCTTACAATTGTACTTAGACAATTACTTACTGTCTTAACTTTGTACAAATTGTCTGCCTACTCAGCTTTGAAGATATACAAAGCCTGCTTAACAAAACTCACACATCATTACTAGTTTCACTATCTCAAGACCCACTTCAAATAAACCTGTTTATCCAATAGATACTCCCCTTCTCATTACCAATTCAAGACTATAAATACACCAAAGCTACTATACTTGTCTTTAAAAAAATTTTTTTTTTTGATCAACTTCCAGATAGCTACTTTCTTACTATTCTTGAACCACTTTTGGACAATCTCTTAGATCTATATGTGGAGATTTACAATCTTTTTCTTATTACCAAGTGCTCTTGCCTTCTACATTTCTCAGAATATTGACAAAAATTAAAGAAATATTATATTGTAGAAAGAATCCTCCCAAATTACTTCAACTTTCCAAAAGCTAACCACAGCTTTCCTCTACTCCCCAAAACCTCAACTTGGCAGTCCATTATTATTTTTCTTATAATTCCATCGATATTTTAGAATTCAAAGATATGTTGATATACTTAGAGAACACTATAGCTTCAAACACATTTTTAATAATTACTTTATTAAAAAAAATCTTTTCCTGCTGATCCATACTCAATTAAAACTGTTAGCACCTTTACTTTTCCTATTACTGACTCTTATCTAGCAAAAAAATTTATTGCTGAAATACAAAACAAATACAAGTTCAATATCCTATTACCACTTATCTACATAACTGCCAACTCTACTAACAAATCTCTACTTTCAAACGAACACAATCTCATCATAGAAATCAACTTAACACTTTCAATTAGGAGCCCAAAAGTATTAGTAGAAACAGTATGGCTTCTAAGAAAATTTTATTTTTTTTATCAAATTCTAACCAACTGAATAGAAATCTATACTAGCCCAGACCTATCTACAAAACCATCACTCCTCTTACAGCTTTTTGAAATTACTAATTATCTAAAACAAACTAATCTGCAATATACAATTCAAATCCCAATTACAAAGTTTGAAAATATTAAGAAAACTAACTTAGAATTACAAAACCATTTCAATTTCCAAGACACACCCTCATATCTACTTAATCTTCCTAACTTACTTGACTCCAAATAGGATATTCTAAACAATTATCTTTTGTTAATATGAATAAGATCATTCAAACTAGTCTACAACTGATCGAATTTAATGCAACTACTTCATTTTCATTATTACCAACTTCTTTTTACTCATACAATAACTTACCTATAAATATTGAAGATGATATCTATAAAAATCTAAATATAGTTACTCACAATGCTCAAAGACTTACTGACTTACTTAAACTTCAAGTTTGGCTTAAATTTTGTACTAAAAACAACTACCACATCATATCTATAACTAAAACCAAACTAAAAGATTTAGTCTTAGTATCACTCGCGAACCCATACTACAACATATATATATCAAATTTCTTTTCAAAAAACAAGATATAGCATAAAGCAAGTCTTGGCACTGCAATCACACTATACAAAGCCCTACAATCTTATATCCACAATATACAAACCTTCCTAGACATAGCTCTATACATAGATTTCTACTTCTTAGCTGATAATAAACTCTAACTTATATCATTTTACTTACTATCTAACTACCTAGGCTAGTTAATATCAATCCAAAACACAATCACAAACTGGCTACTAGAAGCAAAACACAAAAATTAGTATACTATCATCCTAGAAAACTTCAATAATAATACAAAATGCTACAAAAAAATATCTAAATTATTCTTTACTTTACAGTTTCTATCATCTTCTAGTCTATTAGATTTCTTCTCAATTACAGAACCAACCTGAAAATGTGGTTTTCAATAAAGTCAAATTGATAATATCTGGGTTAATCTAGAAATTATACTCAACTTTAGTTCACCTACACTAATTGACCTCATGGAAATTACAGATAGCAACCATAAAATTATACAAACTACTTAAACAACCAACTTCAACCTTAAACTTTTAAAATCAAAAAAGAAGAAAAGAAAAATTTATCTCTACAACCAAATAGATTCTAAATCTTGGCAAGGTTTTTTTAAAGCAGTGAAAAATGAACTCAAAACTCTAAATATTACATCTTTTCTAGAAAACTATAATCAACTCAACAAATATTAGAACAAATAGTCAAATACAATTAAAAAAGTTGCTAACTGAGAAATACCTATAACCCTCAAATCACACAAAACCTTTTATATATTCTTAGCAAAAACCACTAAGCTACACATAGCACTTAAAACTATTAGCAACACACTTCATATTACCCACATTATCTAATCCCCAAACTCAATAGCTAACATGGTTCAAACTATTAACACACTTCTAGAAAAGATATTCTCTTTAACAGAAGTACAAGTGATATCCTGCAAACCTACAAATCTAACCTCAAACTATACTCACTTTCTTACAGAATTAAAAAATTAAAAAACACAATATGGAAAGCTTGAAGCATGAAGACAAAAATAGCACAAAGAGAAAAGATAAACTTCTATATTCAATGATGTTATAATGACATGGAAACAAATATCTCAAGGATGATTAATAGCATACTTAATCAAAAAAAAGCAAATATTTTGTATAATAAAATAATTATCCCAGACAAAATAATTACTAACCCAAAAAAAATAAAGCAAGCAACTAAAAAACACTTCAACAACTGAACCAAATTTAATTTAACAAATCAAAGCTTCAAACAAGAATAGGCTTCTTATCTACAACCACTTTCAAATATTCAATCACATATCTACAACAATCTTATCTAGCCAATAACCTATGATGAACTAACAAATATTATAAATACTACTCCACTTAAAAAGCCACAGAACCAACTAGAATATCTAACAAAATGCTTAAACATCTACTCTACTCAGCAATCTTAGCACTACTCTTAATCTTCAATATATATATAAAACTAAAACAAATATCTAAAGGTTGGAGATAGCAAACATATGGACTATTCCAAAAAAACAACATTATAATAATGACTTAAACTATATATGCTCTATTATACTAATCGAACATACACAAAAAATTTTCACAAAATTACTTATATTATGATTAAGCCAAATACTTACTTGATATCAAATCTTTGCTAAAAACAATAATGTGGCCCTTTTATATACCTTCACTCTACAACCTATCCAAACTGTAATACACATCATCGAACACACCAACATTACAAACAGAGAATACTGGATCTTTGTACAAGATATATCAAAGATATATGATATTGTTCATATTCCACTTCTTATAAAAACATTACAATGAATTTATATCCTTTTAAAATTTACTAACTTATTTAGCCATTTTTTAAAAAGTAGACAAAACACAATAATAATAGATATTGGAATGACAGAACCCTATACTGTACAAGACAGAATCGACTAAAGAGAAACATTTTTCCCAATACTCTGGAGAATTTACTATAATCCATTAATTAGCTGAATTAACAACACTTTTCAAAGATACTTGCTAGATACAAACACTTCTAAAAATACAATATCGACATATATTTCAGTAGTAGCATATATGGACAATACAGTTTGGATCGCCAAAAACAAAAATGAACTACAAGAAATACTCACAATAGTTGACTTCTTCTTATCATATATCAATATTAAAGTGAATCTACACAAATCTACACTAATCTCGAACAATTCTAACACACAAGCCTTTATTACTTTCTATGAACAAACTATTACTAACATTAAACCCAAAGATATTTTTTGCCACTTGGGTGTCTAGCTCACCCATAACCTCTCTCTAAAGGCAGCGAAGGCTTTAATTACTAGTGAAATTATCTTCAATATTAACAAAATTTAATACGCAAAAATTACAGACAAACAAGCAATTTATATTATTAATAATGTAATCCTAATATGTACTGTATATCAAATGCAAAGCACACATTTAACAAAACACTCATGCTCTAAGATCACAAAATTCTATACTAAAGTAGTAAAACAAAAAGTACAATTATCTCGATCTATACCTAACTCAACTTTATATCATTATTTAATCTATATATTAAATACACTTTACAATATTCAACAACAATAGCAAATTAGAACTTTGAATTATAGTATTCACTCATCTGAGTTTGACAACTTTAGTATTAAGATAAGGCTACAACAACTCCAAAATGCAGCTAACTCAAACCTGGTTGTATATCAGAATCCCGATACACAAAATCCCGACACACAAAATCCCGGCAACAAAATCCCAATACACAAAATCCCGACAAATTAAAATCCTAAAAATATTAAAATTAGGAATTTAATTTGTCGGGATTTTGTGTATTGGGATTTTGTTGTCGGGATTTTGTGTGTCGGGATTTTGTGTGTTGGGATTCTGATATACAACCCTCAAACCTATCTATTCTCTTTAAATAGCCAATTTTTCTTATAGATGAATACAAAATATAGCTCAACTAATAATAACATTCTACAACTTAAATATCTAACTAATCTAGCTAACTAATCTATGGCCAATTTCTAAACAACTTCAAGGCACCTCAATCAATCTAATTCTAGCTTCTATGAAGCAACTAGCAACAATTAAATACAAATTAAATATATATAACATTACTTGTATAGAGCAATTCCTAGACTACACTAATAATCACATCTTAGATTGGTATTTATTTCATCATAATATTCAAAAAATTTTAAAAAAAAAAACTTTATATTGGTTTAAAAACATTACCAACAAAATTACTGAATCTGCCAATCTATTAATAACACTAGTCTTCCCTAACCCATTCATATTTATACTAATTTACCCTCTTATCTGTAAATAAATTATTACATATTCAAAAAAATTTAGAAAAATTACAAGTTTGACAAACAATCAAACAAAAATCAAATACTATATTTAACACCTATTAACCCAAAACAACTTATTCTCTGCTTAGGCTATCACAAAAAAAACTACTTACTTAAAACTAAATACTGTTTTTTTATAGCTTCAATACAATTATTATACAAGATTCAAGTCAACTGCAGAAAACAAATTCATGGTTAACTTAGTTGCCTGTTATACCCAGTTATACCTTCTATTAAAGAGTACAAGAACTCTCTATATTTACTAACAACCAATTATCAAACTACTCACTGCTTTCTACAGTTATTCAACAACAATAAAATCTAAATTTGGGAATTATATACTAATGCCAATTACTCCAAACACATACAACTAAATATTACCACCAAATTTAAAAAAACAAATATAGTAAACAAGACCAAAACTCTATTTGCCCAAGTTCAATTCCAACACAACTAGCAAATATGGTACATAACAAACAAATACTTCCTATTCCATATCTATGCAACTTTTACAACACTAGCAATAATTTATATAATTCTTCTCTTCCAAACCAAAATAACTATCAATACCAACAAAAGATAGCTCCAAGCAAAAATACAATCTATATTTAACCTCCTATTATACCATTAACAACATCTCCAAAAAATTTTATTTAATAATATAATATCTACAATAAGAGTGATCACTCTAATCAAGTACTACAATATTAATATAAATCTGATAAAAAAAAAAATCAATGTATTAACACCAGACCTGCAACTACATACTAACCTTTTAATATAAACAATATTAAATTTAAACTATACATCCTGTACTAATAGTATATCTACAACCTGCTTAATACATCAGCTATCCAAAATCATTCAAAGAGCAAAAGCTGCTATCAAATGGAATATAATACAACAACTCTTAAGCATCTACTAAAAACTAACTTTCAAGTACCTAAACTATCAAAACAACCCACTTAGTCACAGTACTTGCTCTGCCAAATTAGCCCTCAAAACCTTCAAAATGAAATTACTAATATCTAAACTACCAACCTACCTACACCTCTTTCATAGAGACTCATCGACACACCCAACCTATTCTGTGCAAAATGTCCACAAATACTCGAAGACACAGTTTATATACTTACTTATCTATATAATTCTACAAATATTAAAGAAATTATACATAAAGCTATAACCAAAGTCTGCCAAACAAACAAGATTAACACACCACCAATGCATAAATTTATACAAGATTTCATCTCAATTTACATCTACAAACAAATCCCAATTGGCTTTATCAATTCAACTATACTACCAAAACTAGATTTATTCTCTCAAAACAATGAGCTAATTGTACAGATATACTACATAATCACCAAAAATATATATGAAGATATATGAAAACCAAGTCAAATATGTTTGCAACAATCTACTTCAAACCTCTTAGTAATCATAACATCTTTAAAAACCTACAATCTCTCTAATTTAGCAGATAGTTAATTTCTTATATGGTTTAAAAATTTCATCCACTATAACTTTATATCTCTACTCTTTAATTACATAGCCTAGAGGTTTTTTAACTATTCTAGCTAAGAATAGGTTGAGAATAAATTATAGCTCTAACTTTTACTCCTTTTTATTGAATATATAAATTTTTACTAGTTGTATTTAATTATATATCTTGAAATAAAGGAATAGAGGAAAGATCTCTCTTAAAAAAAAAAAAAAAAAAAAAAAAAGAACTAGTGCTTTTTATACTATCTTTAATTAATTGGTTTATTACTTTAACACATTAGGTGCTTTGAACTCCTGTTGTAAACAATTGTAGTTAATAATACTAAGCCTATGATTTTATACTATTTTGTAATATTCTATTAAAATAATCCTGTATTTGAGAATATTTGTTTAATAAATGTTACTACCTTCTATTAAAATCTTTTTCAAATATGCTATTTTTTGTATATAGTAATTCTTTGTAGAACTTGTCAAACTGCTTTTCAAGAAAGATGCAAAAAGAGTTGCCAATGAAAAAAAAAAAAAAAAAGAAGATAGGCGCCTAAAAATGAATAGTATGTTAATTTGTAGATTTTTGCGAACATTCTCCTAAATGTAAAAAATGCATAAAAAATAGCATGTGGTAGGTAGTTTTAGTACAAGGGTGCTACTTAGTGCAGCGTCAGCATCAGAAAACAATACTATTGATGATATATTATTTGTCGTATTTATAAGACATTCAAAAAACTATTCATATGCCTCAGTAGTTTCGTCATCAAATAGTGCTTAGACCACCAACTGACTCTTTGTATTATTATCAATCACTACTAAAAACATGAGATATATATCATTTGGCATATGTTATCTGTTTAAATAATATCAATATAATGAATAAGGTACTGTTGTTAAGTTGGTAATATTCAAAATAATTCTGCCAACCAATTATTATATGAATCTACTCAAATGTTAACAATCCAATTAGGGTTCTAATTTTTTAGTTGTAACAAATAATCAATAAATAACTGTACTTCTCTATAATGTTGACAAAGGGGTAATTGAAACTTTTGAACAGTATTATAGAGATCATATTTATGAATTATATTATCAAGAAATTTTGCAGTCAATAAAGATAGCATCTGCTTAGATCCTATATTTCCCTTCATAATATAAAATTCTATTGTTTTCAGGATTTCTAAAGATTGATTTCTATATTTAGAAGCAAATAGTACAACATTTGGTTGTATCTGATAATAATATTCTTCTATTATACTTGTAATAATTACAACTGCTAATGCTTTTGGTTTTGAGAGATTTATATGCTATAAGCATGCTATTTTTCCTGAACTTTGATTCCTTTGCCTTAAAAGATCAACAACTTGATTTTTAACAATTTCTCTAAAATGTATATACTCAAATATATATTATTTGATTTCACCATTATCATTTGTTACAACCCTTCTTCGATGTAAAGAAAAGCCTTTAGTTTTAGCATAACTATTGAGATGCACTTTAGCTAAATCTCACAACAGATACGAATCTTAAGATCCTGTTTATCATCTAATACTAACACTCTCAAGTTTATTGCTTCATTTGCTTCTGAATTATCTAATTCTATATCTTTATTATTTGTAGTTTCAATCAAAGAACTATTTGAAAATTTTATAAGATATATATTAAAAGCTATTAAAAAGAAGCCAATATGCAGTTTGAATGTATTTATAAAGAAATAATATCACAGCTTCACTTTCCATAACTTCATTTGTAGATGTGTCACTAGAGATATAATTAAGAGTTATAAGAAGAAAGCACTAACTTAAAAGAAATATAGCAATTAAAACATGAGACAAGTAATAGAAAAAACACAATTTGTCACTAAGATATGAAGAAACATACTGCAGTAAAAGAAAGCAATATAAAAAAGAAAATATAGTAATAAAATAAAATAAAAATTAGTAAAAGA